TGTCAGATCATTTTAAGAGTAGTGGATCCGTTAGAAACTACTTATCAGGTGTTAAAACTTGGGCCATTCTGTTAAATTTTGATCCTGAGGAATTTAATTCACCTTCGCTCAGGCTAACCTTGTCAGGTATTGACAAGCTTAATACAAATGTTCCAAATACAAATTTACCATTTGAACCATATCATCTGAACCATATGTTTGAAGTCCTAGATATGACAAGTGTACAGGATGCTGTGTTGTGGGCTGTTATTATGATAAGCTTTTATGCTATGCTTAGAAAATCACAATTCGCTAACAATTCAAGGACAACGATTAACCCTAAGGAGCAGTTAACCAGAGGTGATATTCAAATTACTGAGGAAGGATTAATTATCGATATACAGTGGTCAAAAACTAGTCTAAAACACAAAAGTATTCAACAGATTCCTCTTAAAAGAGTTGAGGATTGTGTTCTATGTCCGGTACTGGCTTATTCTAGAATGGTAAAAATGTTGCCTGCACTACCAGAAGAACCCGCTTTTGGTCTAAGTGATAGTAAGGGAAAGATCTGTGCCTTTTCAAAGTCAGACATGGACAAAATTATTCACAAACTCTTAGTGCGTTGCGGAATGGATACTTCACAATACTCGTTTCATAGCTTGCGTAGAGGCGGTGCAACTTGTGCATCAGCTGCTGGATGCACAGACTCGGAAATTTGTACAATAGGCAATTGGGCTTCCTCTTGCTACAGGGGCTACATCAAACACTCTACTGACAAACTTTATTACATCTCAAGCAAAATGGAACTTTTTTGCAAACTTTCCAACTGATCAACTTCCATGATATTTTTGTCCTCAATTTTTTTTCTGATTTCTGTGCTTGGCATTGCGTTGCCTTGGTGATTGTGGTGTTCAGTTTTAATATGACATATTGTTGAACATAACATTGTTTCTTTATGCGTGTTTGCATATTTACATTTTGTATGCGTATTTGCATTTGATTTATTAAACACCACCTTTGAATGCCAGCACAGACTTCAGTTTTATATAGCCACTCTGAAAGTACAGTACAAATTGGTTAAAAATGGCTAGTCATTTTGTTTAATTTGTTCGGGGCGTACTCCATGTTTTAGATTCACCACTTTAGATCTTTCTTAAAAGAGATAAGTTTAACACAATATTGATCTAAATTTTGAAAGAAACCGCGTTTTTATCCCTCCCGCCCACCCAATTAGGAATCATTATTTTTATTTCATATGAATGTATGTTGAAATGTTTTTTCTTGACATGTCTTAACTTACAACTTTAGTGAAATGTTGTTTGCCTTTTTTTTTTAATATTCAGAAAATTATTTTTACCTTTATAGGTGATTGTGGTGTTCAGTTTTAATATGACATATTGTTGAACATAACATTGTTTCTTTATGCGTGTTTGCATATTTACATTTTGTATGCGTATTTGCATTTGATTTATTAAACACCACCTTTGAATGCCAGCACAGACTTCAGTTTTATATAGCCACTCTGAAAGTACAGTACAAAATACTTAAAAATGACTGGAATTAACAGAACTTAAAATGACTGAAATTTTCAGTACAGTTAAATGACCAAATTTTCGGTACTGAAAAAAATGACTGAAATTTACAGTACTGAAAAATGACTGACAAATAACTAAAATTTTCAGTACTGAAAAATGACTGACATTTTCAGGATTGACAAATAACTAAAATTGTCAGTACTGAAAACAACTTTTTCTCAACATACTGAGAAGATATGGGTAAGAAATGTACTGATTAGTGATCATTTCTTATCAGTCCTGTATGACCTGTATATGTTTTGGCATTAAAAGTACATGTAAATTCTTGGTAGTGTACTAAACACATGGATACTTTTGATTGATCCTTAATCCAGACCTTTAAATATTTACTCCCATGCGTGATATTGATGTATTGCTGTCAGCTCGAATTACCGAATCATCTTTTAATTAGTGTGGGAAGTGCAACAAAATATAAACACGAGTTCGTGTCCTTGTTTTCCTCCTTTGTTTTTTTCATATTTATACAAAAACTATGTTATTGTTATTCAAAAGTAATTATACTTGTGTAATGTAGAAGACAATTCTAAGTTGTATAACTTGTGTCTGATTCTATTGCCATGTATTATTTCGACAATACAAAATGTTTAAACAAGATTGCTCTGATAGATAAAGAGTAAACTAGAAGACCCTGTTAGCTTTGCAAAATATCCATGTTAAAAATCACAATGTAGTGGAACATCCTATCCAAATGAAAATCATTTTGAAAGATCCAATACTATGAAAAGTATTTTATATGTTTAATTTACAATATGAGAGGTAATGCCATGACTAAGATTAACCCTGAAACAAATGCTATTAAAAACATAATGAACATGTTGCCAAAGGCGTGGAAGGGGTCTTCTGGCTATTTCAACATTTCGAATTTTACTATCCTGTCTATTCCAACATTGAAAGGGTGTCTTCAACCTATGCCTGCAGTGAAATAATCTTTTCGCATTAACAATTTTCGATATTCACCTTTTCTACAGGACACAGATGTATACGAAATAGTGCTTCAATTTCAGGTTCCCCCCATGGTGTCTTCTAATCTTATTATTTAATAGTGTTCCAAATTCTTAAGGTTCATCATAACATTTGGCTAATATGACCGTATTTACACCACATTTTATGTTTTAGAAAATCATAACATTTTTGGGATTTTGAGATTCCGTTTTTTTCGTTCTCATAGAAGGTGCCAAAAACGTAGTTGGGGAAATGTTTGAGGTGTTTCCCTATGTAAATAATTGTAGTGAATTGTATTGATAATTACACCTTATGTAAGAATCCTGGGTTTTGATTGGTTGATAGCCAGTGTATTTTTCACCAATTTACTTTTATCAAATGAATATCGTTCATTTTTAAACAGCGCCGGGGTATATGCAAAAAGGATATGCCTTTTTTACCCTCTCTGCCGTGGTATTTGCCAAAAAATACTCTATCCGACTGGATGCTTGTAATGTCACGATCATCAATGCGTTTTATGTCACGATCATCAATGCGTTTTGTACGTTAACATTCGGTGTAATTAAACAGATATAGCATGTTCTTGAGGGGTATTTGCGAAATATACCAGTCTTGAGAATGAATTTCCCTCGCCTTACGGCTCGCGAAATTTAACATTCTCTCGACTGGTATTTTTTGCAAATACCCCTCCTTAACATGATATATCTGTTCATTAACCGGGCTATAGATATCTGCACAACAATAGGTGATTTAAACTGTGTAAATGAGTGGACCATATCAAATGAAACTCAGGTGTTTGTTTATATTTTATCACCTTCTGCAAGCTCACAAAAAGGGAATCTCAAATTCCAGTTAAGTGTTTAAAAAGTAAAATAACAAAAATACAGAACTTCAAGGAAGATTAAAAACGGAAAGTTCCTTACCAAATGGCAAAATTAAAACCTCTAACACATCAAACGAATGGAAAACAACTGTCATATTCTTGATTTGGTAAGGCATTTCCTTGTTTAGAAAATGGTGGATTAAACCTGGTTTTATAGCTAGCTAAACCTCTGACTTTAATGACAGTCGCATAAAATTCAATTATATTGACAACAATGTGTGAGCAAAACAAACACATAATTTTCTGAATCATAAAATGCATTCAAATTTATTCACCTAGTTCCTGCCATGCCTTAAAAACTTTTCCAGGTGCACAGGTTTGGCTGTACTCAGAGTAAATTTTGTTGTGTAAACACGGCTATATTTTTCAATTCATACCCATGGTATGAATAAGGAAGAGATAGAGAGAGATTAAACCATGATGCCAACACTATAAATAAATGGTGTTTAAACAACAAAATGGTAATAAATCCTTTAAAAACAACTTCTATGCTGGTTGGAACGAAGAAAAAACGAGGTTTGATAGGTCATAAACTAAATATATCAATACAAGATAGCCCAATAACATTTGTTGAAACACAAAAGCTTCTAGGTATATATATTGACTTAAATTTAGAATGGTATTTTCAAATAGATCATGTATGTAAAAGCATAAGTACTCGTATTGCTCTGTTATCCAGAATTAAGAAATATCTAGGTATTATTAGTAGAAAATTATTTTATAATGCTTATATTCTGCCCATATTTGATTTTTGTTGCTCAATATAGGAAAATTGTAATGCAGATGGAATTCAAAGAATTGTTAAGATGCAGAAAAGAGCTGACAGAATTATACTGGATGCACCAATACTAACACCTACTGTAAATTTATTTAAAGAGCTAAAATGGTTAAATTTCAAATCTAGGATTTCTTATCATAAATTGATTCTTGTTCATAAAATTCTAATAAAGCACCTGATTACCTTAAAGAACAATGTTGTCAAATTGTAAACCTACACAGCAGAAATTTAAGATCTTCTACAAATAATAATAAATTCGATGAAAAATACATTCACATATAGCTCCTCAATACTTTGGAATAAACTACCAAATGAAATAAAACTATGTGTAAATCTTGGTACTTTTAAAAGAAAATGTGTAGATTTTTTTAACTATAAATGTTATGTAACAACTCTCTAACTCTATTATGTCTTTTTAATGTTTGTGTATAACATGTATAATGTATTTAATATTTTGTTTTTTCTCTCGTTTTTTTGTTGTTCTACAAACAATCATTTAGCGTGAAAGTTTAATTATATGTTCAAAAATTGTAATATCTGTAATACTTGTTCTGTATGTTTTTTGGTGAGGGCCTCAAGGTAGATTAGTGAATGCTAATTGAGTCACCCTCTTAAAATAAAGTCATTATTATTATTATTATTATTATTATTATTATTATTATTATTATTATTAATTCCTTTTTATGAACCTTAATCGCGCTTCTCTTCTGAATTATTGCCAAATTAACTCATTTGTCCCTTTGATCTGGCATTGGGCAATTTCGGATACCCTGGCAGGAAGATGCTGGGGTCGATGCTGAAAATGGCTACTGGTATTACTTACCTAACCAGTTTTTCTTCTAACCTTTATCTAACAAGGGAGATGAATGATTACTTTCGTTTTCAATGTAATTTCCAATTTGCTTAAAGGGAGGCAATCTAAGTATTCAAGGTTATTTAATTTAATTGGCGCTTAAAATTTAAATATCCATAAAATGTGCATGTTCAGAAAAACAAAAGTTTTTGGAATGGAAGAAGGATATGAGAGTATTGTAATTGAAGATCATCAATTGGTGATATCGGAAATCGGGTGTACTGGCGATGCGTCAGAGGAGCTTATACACGGATATTTGCGATCATCAAATCAAAAATCAATAGCCGCAAATTTTCAATTACAATACTTTGTAATGAAGCTAGAAAAAACCCCGCTAAATCATACATTTTAAAATCAGTGACACGACGTCTGTTCTTGCTTGCACAATTTCAGATGATCAATCGTGAAATTGATGCCCTGTCAGTGTTCCGTTATCCTAACAAAATAAACGTTACAAACAATCTATTATTAGAATTTTATTTTAACATTGCAACTTTATTTTCAAACAAGGACATTTTATTTAATCTCAAAATTTGATGCAATTCGTTTTATAGTGCCTTTCTATTTCTAAACGTGACTTATAAAATATGATCCACACGAAAATTAATTTATCATTGTAAAATTATCAAATTTTCTGCAATTAGGGAGCTCCCGTTTGATTTTTATGGGGGAGGGGGGCTAGGATGAAATTTGAAAAAAAGGCAGGACAGGAATTTTGAGTAAAAAAAGGCAGGATGAACAACTTGGAAAAAAAAAAGATGACAATTTATGTAAAAAAAGTCAGGATAAACTAATAAAAAGAAAAGGCAGGACCGAATAGAGTGAAAAATAAAAAGACAGGACAGAGATTACAACTAAAAAAAAAAGGCAGGACAAAATTTTTCATCCTACCCCACCCCCCACCCATAAAAATCAAATGGTAGCTCCCTTATGTAGTGGATATGACGTGTGGGGGGGGGGGGGGTCATTGTTACTTAGGGGATATGTACATTAATTTTTTTAATTTTTTTTGAAATTCACACACGTAAATATAATGAAAGTATACATTTAAGTATACAAATAGTCTACAAGAAGACAGCACATTATATATATATATATATATGTGTGTGTGTGTGTATTTACAGTGTTATACCAGGGAACATTTAGTCAAGTGCATAACTACACGACTACGTGTCGATATTTACGAAAATAGACGCGTATGCACATGTTTTGTGAATACTATGGTAGTCTGTTCGACACGTTGAAAAATTGAAATATAATGAGTATAAACAATTGATTGGTTCATGTCAATTTGTTGACAGTTAGCCTTAGTGATATACAATCTGCAAGGAACTATTCGTCCATTTACTGCAGTGATCACATATATACTCTGTCTGTAAAGTAATACAACTGCAAAATGGAAATCATATCAATTTAAGGTTTAATTTGAAGTTTTTTCCCCTTTTTTCAAATATCATTGTAGACAAATTAAGCTCATATATTTTGAGGTCAAAGGTCAAAAGAAATGCAAATTCGATCTGTTACTCGTCATACTAAAAAAATCCATCATTGGTTTCTACATGATTAAAAAAATATAATTTAATTCCAGTCTTAAAAAAAATACCTTTTGACGATTCCCATTTTTATGCTCAACTCGAAGCAAACAACGGATGATACTAAAAAATAGCCAGAGTTTATTTACATCTAAACTCTTACCGCAAATGTTTTTTCATTCTTTTACGCCGCATTTAAAAATACTATTGAAAGTTCATTTGCTGATAAAGACTCTAAATGTAAGGTTGAACGAGCAGTTAGTCTTTGTACTTGTTTAGCAAATGTTCCACGTAGTTCATATTTCCATAGAACAATGAACCATTTAAAATCGTAAAAGAATGCTCACGACCACTCGATGGATACTTGTCAATGCTAATTTAACGCAGTGTAAAAGAGAGGCGAAAGATACCAGAGGAACAAATAGTTCAATTTCATTTCCAATATAAAGATAAGTTTTCTCCATTCTTCATTAAAGTATACATTCGTTTAATACTTCGATATTTTCTTTTTCTTCCGTAATCTCATTGTTTTAGATAAGAACAATCAACTCCTTTTAAAATTTGATCTTCCGTTTTTCACATATTTTTTTTTTTTCAGTTACAATTTCGAAAAAAACAATCAGCGTATTTTCTTGCCTTGTCAGTTTTTATTGATTTGTCATGCGATATCAAAAAATTTGAAAAAAAGGCAGGAGTTTTGAGTAAAAAAATAAAGGCAGGATGAGCAACTTGGCAAAAAAAAAGGCAGGATGACAATTTATGTAAAAAAAGTCAGGATAATTTGAAATTTGAATTTCGAAAAAAACAATCAGTGTTTTTTCTTGCCTTGTCAGTTTTTATTAATTTGTCATGCGATATCAAGAAGAGACTTTTCTGTTCTTTGAAAGGAAAGTATGTATATAAGTTTTTGTCTTTTATCAGTCGCGAGTTAAAATATTTTTTTTATAAAACATGCAAATTTTACACAATAACAAGAATACAAGAATGATACACTTTATCAAAATTTGATGTTCATGTTATAGGGTTGGCGCCAACAAGCTAGTTTAAACCCGCTGCAGAAGACACGTTTCTATAGAATATGTCAAGCTCTAGATCGTTTCAAGTCTATAAAGAGTATCAATAAATCAACCGAAACTTTATCAAGATTAATCAACAACCCAAATACCCGAAAGATTAAGATTTACTCCTTAATCAAATTTTATTTTTCGTATATGTGTTCATTGTCCTTATTTTCCCTTTTAAGCTCTTTTCTTTTAACTTCATATGCCTTTTTGTTTTCCTTTTCCCAAAACTAGGTCTCGGTCTTATTACGTATTATTTTCCCAAAACTAGACAGTTACCGCCCCCCCCCCCCCCCCCATTTGGATGACCTATAACTATTGTTTCTATTGGTAATTTGTTCTCGTCCTAAACATGCATGAAATAATTGCCACTGGATTTAAAATTTGTAAACTAATTAATATATACTAGTTGTTTTATATTCAATGCTATACGCTTGTCAGGTCGCTTGTTTTCTGTTTCGAATAGTATCTCTTTATTTTTATACCGGAGTATTCTTAACTTACTATACGTTTTTTGAAGGCCGGATAGTGGTATGTGGTGGTTTGAATTCTTTTCATTAAGTTTTAATATTTGCAATCATACCAGATCTTGTTAATATATGTATTTTACTTAAAGGGAATGTAACATAATGCTACAATAGCGATAACAATGGACATTTGGTTTACCTGAATTTGCATATCAAAACTACAATTTAATTATCAAAATATATCTGAAACAACTTTAGTTATCTCCGATTTTTTTCTGTCTCGAATAGTATCTCTTTATTTTTATACCGGAGTATTCTTAACTTACTATACGTTTTTTGAAGGCCGGATAGTGGTATGTGGTGGTTTGAATTCTTTTCATTAAGTTTTAATATTTGCAATCATACCAGATCTTGTTAATATATGTATTTTACTTAAAGGGAATGTAACATAATGCTACAATAGCGATAACAATGGACATTTGGTTTACCTGAATTTGCATATCAAAACTACAATTTAATTATCAAAATATATCTGAAACAACTTTAGTTATCTCCGATTTTTTTCTGTCTCGAATAGTATCTCTTTATTTTTATACCGGAGTATTCTTAACTTACTATACGTTTTTTGAAGGCCGGATAGTGGTATGTGGTGGTTTGAATTCTTTTCATTAAGTTTTAATATTTGCAATCATACCAGATCTTGTTAATATATGTATTTTACTTAAAGGGAATGTAACATAATGCTACAATAGCGATAACAATGGACATTTGGTTTACCTGAATTTGCATATCAAAACTACAATTTAATTATCAAAATATATCTGAAACAACTTTAGTTATCTCCGATTTTTTTCTGTCTCGAATAGTATCTCTTTATTTTTATACCGGAGTATTCTTAACTTACTATACGTTTTTTGAAGGCCGGATAGTGGTATGTGGTGGTTTGAATTCTTTTCATTAAGTTTTAATATTTGCAATCATACCAGATCTTGTTAATATATGTATTTTACTTAAAGGGAATGTAACATAATGCTACAATAGCGATAACAATGGACATTTGGTTTACCTGAATTTGCATATCAAAACTACAATTTAATTATCAAAATATATCTGAAACAACTTTAGTTATCTCCGATTTTTTTCTGTCTCGAATAGTATCTCTTTATTTTTATACCGGAGTATTCTTAACTTACTATACGTTTTTTGAAGGCCGGATAGTGGTATGTGGTGGTTTGAATTCTTTTCATTAAGTTTTAATATTTGCAATCATACCAGATCTTGTTAATATATGTATTTTACTTAAAGGGAATGTAACATAATGCTACAATAGCGATAACAATGGACATTTGGTTTACCTGAATTTGCATATCAAAACTACAATTTAATTATCAAAATATATCTGAAACAACTTTAGTTATCTCCGATTTTTTTCTGTCTCGAATAGTATCTCTTTATTTTTATACCGGAGTATTCTTAACTTACTATACGTTTTTTGAAGGCCGGATAGTGGTATGTGGTGGTTTGAATTCTTTTCATTAAGTTTTAATATTTGCAATCATACCAGATCTTGTTAATATATGTATTTTACTTAAAGGGAATGTAACATAATGCTACAATAGCGATAACAATGGACATTTGGTTTACCTGAATTTGCATATCAAAACTACAATTTAATTATCAAAATATATCTGAAACAACTTTAGTTATCTCCGATTTTTTTCTGTCTCGAATAGTATCTCTTTATTTTTATACCGGAGTATTCTTAACTTACTATACGTTTTTTGAAGGCCGGATAGTGGTATGTGGTGGTTTGAATTCTTTTCATTAAGTTTTAATATTTGCAACCATACCAGATCTTGTTATTATATGTATTTTACTTAAAGGGAATGTAACATAATGCTACAATAGCGATAACAATGGACATTTGGTTTACCTGAATTTGCATATCAAAACT